TCTCTATCCCCTCTGTCTCTTCTCTATCCCCTCTTGTCTTCTCTCTATCCCTTCTGTTTATTCTCTACCCTCTCTTGTCTCTTCTCTATCCCCTCTTGTCTCCTCTCTATCCCCTCTGTCTCCTCTCTATCCTCTCTTGTCCCCTCTCCATCCCTTCTTCCCCACACAAATTCTAGTAATACTGATCCTATTCTCTGCCTCTATGGAGGTAACTTTTTAACTTCAACATGTAAATAAAACTGTGATAACTTTCCCAATTTCTCAAGTTCCCAGTTCTAATATGACCAGTTTTAGTACTCCTTTGTTCCAAAACATGCTGAGGTTAAATCATCTCTACCAGGAAGTTACCAAATAGAATAATAATCACAAGGCCATAAAAATCTATATGAACGCATGACACAAGCCTAGTATCAAGAGTTAGTGTTAATATTTAATTTTTTAATATATGAATATTAATAAAATTTTGTAATTTAATGTAATATGTGTATTATAACTTGCAAGGTATTGTAGTACTAAGGCATTTGATAACCATTATCAATATTAACTTGAAGTTAATATGAAAATGCCAAGCTGTACACAAAATTCTGGTTGGTCAATGTTCACAAACTGGTGATTTATTAATTAGCTATAACAGTAAGCTACCCTTTGGGGGGAAATATAAATTATGACAGAAGAAATAAAATGGTTTTATGTACACCCATGAGATGCATATTTCTCTTTCAAATTTACATTTAATTTTTTGTTAATATTAAAACAAAAGTAGCAAACCTCTGTGGTCATTTAGGTATTTTGAAAGAGGGAAAGATATTTTCCTTATTACCCTAGATATTTCATGTAAAACTAAGAATGAGAGTCAGGCACACTCAACAGGCATACCTGTTGTCGCAGCAGTTAGAAGGGAGAGGCCAAAGGATTGCTCTAAGTAAGGCTAGCCTGGTCTACATAGTGAGTTCCAGGTAAACCAGGACTACAGAGCAAGGCCTTGGGTCAAAGAGAGGGAGAGAGAGGGAAGGAGAGACAGAAAGACAGACAGACAGAGGCAGAGACAAAGGCTGGCTGCTTCACATGATCTGGAAAATAGCTTGCTTTCTATTAAAAGATCTGATTTTTACATCAAAACATTCATCCCTACTCCATGAGAAAACCTGGTTTTAGTGTGACTCACTAGTCAACTACATATTACAGTCTATGTATTACATTTATTATAAAATGGGTGAATTTTAATATGTTACTATTTCAAAGTAAAAGAAAAATATGGTGAACATGTTGATCTAGAAAGAGGGAGAAAATTATATCACTTATTCACCTAAATATTAAATATAAACTTACATCTTTAACTCTTCTCATAAATAAACCTGAAAAGTTACAAAAAGTTAGCAAAAAAACTATTCTGTTCCTCACTAACCACATGTGCCTTTTAAACCCAACATCTGCCTCCAAGGTAAGGCTTACCTCACTCCATTCTGAACTAAGTACCAATTGCCCGAAAGTAATTAACTTATTTGGGATTTTTTTTTTTTTTGGCAAGGAGGGGGGATTTGTTTTCTTGGGTTTTTGGGGGTTTTTTGAGTAAAAGAGAAACAGATTTTGTGTGTTAATATATCTACTTAAAAATGGAAAGATTTTGAATATTTTTTTTTTAAAAAAAGAATCTTGGATCTCCACAACAAATAAACACAGATTTACAGATTTAGAGAAATCAGTTATGAGAAAAGATTGGGTGTGTCTGCATTCTCCAGACCACTAGCTGCAACCAATTAAGTAGCTGAGTGGGTAAAACTTGTTGGTGGAGAGAAAGAGAAGGAGTATTTTCACTGACAAGTTTTCTGTGAGAGATACCAAGGAACCGTGATGTCGTCTAAAAAACTAAAGACAGCAGCCCTACTGGCAATCAGCTCTTCGTTCTTTGGGGGGTTGATTTTCCCTGCTTTCCTGTGACAAATGGGACCGCCTGAAGACACCACTGCTCCTGCTCCGCCTGGCTGTTCTCACGGGAACTAGAGCTTCCATTTGGTGACGGTCTGGTTTCCTAGGGCAAATGATGGTGAAACCCTGAGATCCCTGAGACAGTTCCCCCAAGGCAATGAGCATTCTTAACAGATAGGACATGGAGAGGGAAAGGTTCTGTGAGAACACGAAGCCCTCAGTTCTGGGTGGTAGATGCTGTATCTCAGGGCATCTGTGTTATGAAGAAATGCCATCTTCTTTGCCTCAAAGGACAGATCACAAAGCCTATACAGCAAGGTTCTCCAAAAGTTCTGAGAATAAGGAAACAGAACAGGGGCTTAATTTGTCTTCCCTTTTGATGGTCAAACAATCTCTTGGCTGTCTGGGAAAAATCTCCTACTACAAAAAGAACCATCTGGGCCTAATTACAATATGTATAACCATCATTTCATGTGGTATTTTCAGTTTCTCTAATTTACATTAATTAGGACTCCCTTAACTCTACCACAATCCTATATAGGATGTGATAAGATGAATAGGTAGATAGGTAGGTAGGTAGATGATAGATAGATAGATAGATAGATAGATAGATAGATAGATAGATAGATAGATAGATAGATAGATGATAGATAGATAATGTATCACATAGTTATGTATGTACGTAATCTCCAAAGTTTTTGCAGAACTATGTCAAGATCACGGCTGTCAGTGGCAGAGAGTAATAAAATCCTCTGGAATTACTTTAAGCTAGAAGTCTTCTTCTGAGTCTTGTTCAACAGAGAACAGTAATTCTTCCAGAATAAATTAATGACTTACATCATTGGAATGACACATCTGGACAACACAGTTGTAACGTGCACTGGCCCTGTGTGTGAGCCGCTAGCCTTTAGGAAACACTACAGATCCAGAATAAATGAGTCTCTGCACTCCTACTCTGTAATAAGCCCCTGTGTGAGCCGTGAGGACACAGGGACCTTGCGTACCAGCTCATCCTTCCCAGGGCTTAGAAATGCACCCTCATGAAATGTGCCCTTGCCCTTGCAGGCTCATGGCTAGAGGTAGGTGGATCGATGGTTGCATGTTTGCCCTCGGCTGTATCTGGATTCATCCCCTCTTGATGATTTAAAGATTTAAAGAGGCTGCAGAATTCCTGAAGACCCTTCCACCGCTTTCGTCTCTCAGTAACCAGCAACCGAGTAGGGAAAGGAGTCGATGTAAATTTGTTGGGTGCTGCTGCTTAAACTGTAAAGAAAAGATGTCTACTTTTTAAAAAGTAATACTTGCATCCTCTTTTAGTACAGAATGCTTTCCTCTGCTCACAAATAGTCAAAGCATTGGGGAAAAAAAATCTGAGGAACATGAGATTTTCAGGTCAGTCTTTTGATTCTGTCCTTTTGGCCTCCTGGCCACTTCACTATCCCAGAATCTGGCTGAGAAGGACAAGGGAGAAAGAGTTTAGCTGCAGTGGCAAAAGGTCAAGGTTCAGCTTAATTTCTAAAGTAAAAAAGCTTAAAGGCTTTCAGAACAAACTCTGTTTTTCATTACTGCAGATATCAGGAGTTAACTGTAAACTTGTTTCTATTTGATTCCCTGTAGAGACAAAACCACATCTTCAATGCCATCACAAATGCATCTTAACATTTAAGTAAACATTTTTCTCATGCATTTACAGGAGACACACACACACACACACACACACACACACACAGAGGGAGGGGGAAAGGGAGAGAAACAGACCGAGAGATAGGAAGGGAGGGAGAGAGAAGGGGAGGGGGACTTGGCTAAGGTTCAGTTACTTCACGAAGAATCAGTAATATCTCAGAAAGTGGTGCAATGGAGAAACTACTAAACCCGTTCTGTAAAAACCCTTAGGTTAGAGTTTGAATTACTAGAAAAAGAAAGAAATGCAAATTGTTTATTGTTTTCACATGTACAGTAAATTCAAAAAAATTGTGCTTCTCTCCAAAGCCATATGGGGCAGACTTCCTTTTCATCAGGAGTGGTTTTCTTGTAGTGCCAAGAGCTAAAAAGATGTTTTTAATAACCAAAGTTGGCTTGTTGCACAGACTGTCTGGATCTAGCCTGGAAAGGGGACGAAGTTCCTTGTGTAGGAAGTGGAGATAATAGAAAGATTGTACACACAAAAATGCAAAGGTTGATCAAAGATGATGCCAAAGGTACCATGTTTGACTTGTGGTTGACAGGACTCATTCACCAGCACCACAGAATGTCACCAGGATCCTTTTTTAACAGTGACCATGTTGTTTGGATGAATCAAATGGTAAAAAACGTGCCTCCTGATCCTAAGTAGGGTACAAGTGAGAAAGTCACCATCGATAGTATAAGATCCTCAGAAGACACAGGGAAATGTTCTAAGTAACCAGGCTGGCCCTGAAAGGCTCACCCACACATGTTTCATTACAGTGGTGTTTGAAGTTTGGTTTGTTTGTTTGTTTATTTGTTTAGTTTGCTTTGTTTACTGGGTTGGTTGTGTGTGGTTCATGAGATATCAGACCAAGCATACTGTTACAGGCCTGTAATCCCAGCCACTGAGGAAGCCGAGACAGGGGCTCACAAGTGTAAGGTCTTGGGCCAATTTAGCAAGACCTTATCTCCAAGTTAAAGGGGAGATGGAAGGAGAAACGAAGGAAGGAAGGACATCTTCGTCATCCATAATGAAATGAGAAAATTAAAGAATGTAGTGAATTTTTCATTAAGTTAAACACCTATAGAGAGCCAGTCCTTTATTATAAAATTACATTCTTCCTATTTCTCAAATTGAAATACTCCTTAATATATTCAGTTGAACTATGTGTAGCTTCCAATATTCAGTTATCTTTTACCAACAAAAATAGCAGTTTCTACCCAGGTGATGGTATACACCTGTAATTTCAGCACTTGGGAGTAAAGACAAGAGAATCTAACCTCAACTACATTTAAAGTTCAAGGCCAACCTGGCCTATTTGTCTCAAAAAAAAAAAAACAGCAATTTCCTAGGGTTCAACTCAATTTTAAGTGATGGTTATTAGATGTGGTAGTTTGGTTTTGGTTTTGGTCTTTAATCTCATTATACAACAAATTAAAGAACTGGTGTGTATATAACAGTAATTAAATTTTTTAGTTCACAAAACCCAGAAAAATAGACAAAACTAGAGCTTACCACTAGAGAGAGCTTCTTTGTGTTTAGTTTTGTTTTGTGTGTTTGTTTTTGTTTTCCAAGACAGAGTTTCTCTGTGTAACATCCCTGGCTATCCTGGAACTCAATTTGTAGATCAGGCAGGCCTCAAACTCACAGAGATCTGCCTACCTCTGTCTCCTGAGGGCTGGGATTAAAGGTGTGCACCCCCAGCACCCAACTTCCTAGAGGGCTTCTTAACAACCAGCCTTCTAAATTGTAACTTCTGTGAATTTTTTGTTTTAAGAAAATAGACCCTGCTGGTAGTAGAATGCTGTGGATACTGGGAGTGGGCTACCTAAAATAAATAAATAAATAAACAAACAAACAAACAAAAAAGGCTGGGCTTCCTGATATTCTGAGCTCTAGAGCAACATAAAGACAAAAAAAAAAAAAAAAAAAAAAAACTACTGAACTTTCCTGGTCTTTCCAATTCCCTGCCCAGCCCTCCATCTGAAGGGGAAAGGAACTTCACTCAGTTTCTAGCCCTGTAAAGTATCCAAGTCGGCCTCTCGCTGAAGTGCTGCGGTCAAATCTACCGGTTACTGTTAGATCACAGCTTCCAAATTCAAGGTGGTGGCTCCTGCTGGAAGGAGACATTCAAAACAGCAGTTCAGGGGCTGGAGAGATGGCTCAGCAGTTAGGAGCACTGGCTGCTCTTCCAGAGGACCCAGGTTCAATTCCCAGCACCCACATGGAAGCTCTAGTTCCAGGAGATCCATTGCCCTCTTCTGGCCTCTGCAGGTGCTTCACATTTTAAAAAAAAAAAAAAAAAAAAAAAAAAAAAAAAAAAAAAAAAAAACAGCAGTTCAGTTTCCTGAGCCAAGAAATGGGGTGGAGGGGACATTGACACCGTGCTGCGTGTTAAGCAGACAGCTACCATTGTACTCTATCTACCTCTCACCCCCACGTGGGTAATTTTATTGAATTTGCCATCCACAAGGACACCTAACAAGACCACCATGGACCTATCTGATTCTCCCTGTTAAGAATTCAGATGGGAGCCAGGCGGTGGTGGCATTTAATCCCAGCACTCGGGAGGCAGAGCCAGGCGGATCTCTGTGAGTTCAAGGCCAGCCTGGGCTATCAAGTAAGTTCCAGGAAAAAGGCACAAAGCTACATAGAGAAACCCTGTCTCGAAAAAAAAAAAAAAACCAAAAAGAAGAAGAAGAAGAAGAAGAAGAAGAAGAAGAAGAAGAAGAA